TATAAGAGCCATGTAACTTTTTGCCTTAAATAAAACACATTTCTTCATTACATAGGCAAGGACACACCTATGTGAGAGGTCGTATAACTCTCCGACTTTAAGAAAAACACATTTCTTTATTACACGGGTAAGGACACACCCGTCCGGGAGATCGTGTAACTCTCCGACTTCAAGAAAAACACATTTCTTCATTACACAAGCAAGGACACACCCGTGTGGGAGGCCGTGTAACTCTCGACTTGAAGAAAAATACATTTCTTCATTACACGGGCAAGGACACACCCGTTTGGGAGGTCGTGTAACTCTCTGCTCAAAATTTTATTCACAAAAACCCTAAAATTTCATTTTTCTTTCCTTCCTACTTCATGTTTATTCAAGTCCATACAAGTCCCACTTTCACCCACCATGTTTAGGTTAACCAAATCCATTAGCTACACATCCATATATGGATTTAACTAAATACCAACTTCCCACACTTAACAATAATCACACAACTAATCATCACAATCAAACCATAGCAACTACCAATCATGGAACAACCTAACCAACATAATCAAGCTAACAAACATCACAACATAAAACACAAGCTTAACCATTGACAATGACATCAATTGCAAGGCATAAAGCAATAAAGAAAACCAACTTACAATATAACAAATAATACAACCAACACGCATCTTAAACACCTTAAAAAGAGAATTAAAGGCATGCAAATAAACCTACTTACATAGATTAGGAATTTTCCTTAGCTTTTCCCCTTTTTCTTTCCTTCCTTTCCTTTCTTTTCCTTTTCCCCTTTTCCTTACTGTGATTTTCTCTCCCTTTTTTCACAATTGGTTTTCTCTCTTTTCTTTCTTTCCTTTGAGTGAGCTACGGTTTGGCTATAGAAAATGATCAGATTTCATCCTTTCCATATATATATATATACACACACTCCCTTTTTCCTTGCATTCAATAGCTATACATGTGGCTTGAATTAATTAGGCAAGGTGGAAAGCAAGTGGTGAGTCATGGGGAAGAGTTGGCTAGTTTGGTCGGCAATTTTAGGTGAGTTGGCCATGAATTCATTTAATGCATGGCCTAGGTGTTTAACTACATACTTAAGCTAACTAAACCTCCTAAATAACTTGGTTCAAGTAACTAAACATATTTTTCTTTCATTAAATTTCGGAAATTCTCCCTCTAAAATTCGAAAATTCCTTTCCCCAAAATATTCCAAGCAGTGATGCCTCGGAACCTACCTGTACTAAAATTGCCATAACTCTTTTTATATTTATCTAAAACTCATGAAATTTTATAAAGAGATATTAAACACCTAGACGAACAACTTTTATTCTTTAAGATTTATCCAAATATTACTCTAAAGTCCTCCAATAAATCACCTAAAAGTTCAGATAGAATTTAGTCTTTAAAACACTAATTTTGCGTATTTGATTTCTTTAATAGTTAAACCATTGGTCTCGAGCACAATAAATTTAATTTAACATAAATCACACATTTCAAGCATTAGTTTCTTATGGTGTAATGAGAATGATATATGTAGAGAGATAAATATTCTACAATGTGTCATTTTATGGTTCGGGATTTTCGTGGGTGTTACACCCAACATGAGAGACCCCTCTTGATGGTTATGATCCCTCCACGATAGTGAGAATAGAAGAGGAAAATAGTAAGTGGGAGGGTATTAACCAATATCCCCTTGTAGGAGCCTTTATCATACCATTGGATAATATATTCGGGTTATATCGAGTTCTCCCTATCCTTGGAGATGGTGTGATGTGAACCCCACATATAAAGATGAGAGATCCAAACACCTTCATCATTAGACAACCCCAAGAATGCACGCAATCAGGTTATAATAAGCAAAACTCGACCCATTGCCTATAAGGAGGCAAGAACGGAAGCTATGTTGTAATGGAGTGATAAGTTTAGAGATGTCACAAGGGTTGCAATCGTTAATAAGTCGATTTAGTTCTCTAAAGAATAAAGGAAAAAAATCTCTCAAATTTATTAACTCTCAAAATTATTATGTTTTTGAAACAAAACTAAACTAGCCTTTAAATAAGCTAAACACGCAACTCCTAACCCTAGAAGGACTTTACATATCCTTGCCCCTAAGAAGAATATAAACAAACCCTAATGGACTTAAAAGAATATGAAAATAATAGGGCTTAAAATTGAGCCCAAATCTAGCGTAAATAAGCAATTCTAATCATAATTAAGCTAGATATAACAAAATGGGCCTAATATGATTTAAGGAGTCCAATCTTGCACTTGGATCAGATTGACAAGTCTTTGATCCCCCTCCTCTCTTAAGATGGCACCATATTGCTTCCTTAGGCCTTTGGAAGTGCATTCTGCCCAATACTCTTGAATCAGCCCATGGAGAGCTTCTTTAAGCTTATTAACCCTAGCCTATGTCATTGGACCATCTTTAATGTAAAATGAATAAGATCTTGGACTTATAAACTCGCCATCTTGGACTCCTTTTGTCCCTCTATCTCTATAGATATAATATGACCTAGGATTAATCCCTACCATATACCATTATTGTAGATAATCTATTTAGAGTGTATGAATGGGTTTACCACTATGGCTAAGATTATCATATAAGTAATAGGTAGCTTAATACTATTATGCATTTAACTCATCAATATGTTAATAAATTATAATGATAGGTTATATAAATTATCAAATATTAAGATAATATAGATACCCTTTTCTATCTCTCTCCCTCTCTCCTCCTCTCGTTGGTAGGCATGGATATGTTAACTCTGCTATCTTCACCATCTCTCCCAATTAATTTACCATTATGGACCAATTTTTCTAATTATACGTCAAATTGCTCATTTATTGTAAAGTCATATAGGGTATGTCCATCGTCTCTCCCTCGATTTAGTTATGTTGTATCACACAACTATTCCGACAAGCACATCCATCATATTTAACATGAGATAATGGGTAATTAAACTGTAATAATGTGATCAATGACTTAGAGGGTACACATGAGTGGAGATTATCCCAAGGGTAAACACTAATGCAAATTAGGGAAGTATATTTCAATAATTTAATAGATATATAATATGTTATCATCCTGTGAGAATACTAGGTGGTAATTCCTACAATTTCTATTATGTACTTATTTGATTGGACCCACCTTATTTATCCACTCAGAACTTGGATAATTCACGTATATCAATCTTCACCATATTCTCTATATTATACCATAATGATCGTTGATTATAACTTAAATCTTGTACCTTGACCATCTCTATTTAGCCCTTGTTTGCACATAAGGAAGGTAAATAAACTTTTATGAGGATAAAATTACTCCTGGTAACATCTTGTTGATTAACTCAATAATTTACTTCATTTTTACACTAGCCATACGTGAATTAAAGAGTGATGGGTATTAATAGAGGAATTATGATGATTATGTGTAACGATATAGGGAGATTATTATTAATAACTTGATTAATAATAATCATAATATTATGGAAGATCACTAGTTTAGAGCAATTAATAAACTATGTTACTAAGAGAAACGTCATAAGCATATAAAGCTCTCCATTAGTTTATAATTGATGTAATTGACCTGAGTTATATAAAAGCAAAGATTGCTATGGTTTACAATGATGAATACTATATTATTATAGTCATGTATAATTAAAAAAATTGTCCTTATTATGACTTTGCTTAGGATATTACCCAATTAGCGGATAACCTTTGCTCGAATATAATCCGATATAATGAACATTATCAATTAATAGGATATACAAATATACTTTTATATAATCTTTTTAGCCCTCCAATATTTAAGATTATATCCCTTAAATCCGGTTGAGCATTTCCGTTAGATAAGGTATTAGTACTAAATAGCCTATTAATATAGACCATATAATCTGGAACTATGATAAGGATATACCTTATTATAGAGATATATAATCAGAATTATATCAAAGGAAGTTAATAAAAATGGTAATTTCTCTATAGGAATTATCATATTGGGATTACCAATTTCTAACCGATTATATAACTCTCAATAAGTTAACACCATGTTCTTTAACCCCTAGTTACTATGATGGCCATCCCTACTGACTCACCCAATTGGATTCTTGGGATAAAAGTGGTTGTGGTATGGCCAATTTTCTTATGATATAGATTAATTACCACTATTTGAGTATAGGTTAGGATGATTAACCCCTATAGTCAAGGTGCCTCCACTACGGACTGATATGTTACAATTGTTAATGGTTATTTGAGTTAATTAAAGAGGGAATACTTAGTAGTAATGTAGAGAGAAATAACGATAAAGTTTAAATATTACCATTTTGGACATTTGAATAATACAAGGGATTTCGTTCATATCCACATGATTTAAGACAGGGTTAATGAGAATTGGCCACAATATCTACCACTAAACTATTGTGTAGGGAAAGATAGCTGAATAATATACTCAGAACAATCAACATTACTTATCGTGTACTCTTATTATAGTAGATTCATTATACCATGTGTATAATGGTGCATATGGAGATAATATTTATTAAGGATATAATTAGAGGATAAGACATAGGGGATTATCATATTGGAAATGGTTACCCTTAAATGTCTAGCCCATTTATAGGGTACTATCAGTAATAGGAAAAAAAAAACTCCAATTATGATGGAGTGAAATAATCTAAGAGATATGAGGTCATAAGACTAGTACGTAATCATCTTTGTTATTTAGCAATATTAAAAGAACAATACTCTTTTATAGCTATACACAATTATACCTCATAACTATATATGAGGTATACTTGCGTATAGCCATAAAAGATGATTGCGTACCAATCTAATTGATTCATTGGAGTTTTATATGTAAGAATGACTAAAAAGATGATTGCGCACAGTATTATAAGGAAGACATGAATTCCTATTTGATGATGGCCTATTAATATAGGCTAACTTGGAGTGAACCTCACAATTCATGAATATAAGCACTCATAAATAGATACCCATGATATAAGTGTAGGAAATCCCACACGATTGTGAGGGTAATCTCCGTTGTCTACCCCTTAATATATTATTGGACTTTGTTAGGCTGAGAGGCCCACACGACCGTATTAAATAGGCATTAAGCTATTTGTGTTTTATATTAGTAGTAATCAATCAACATGGTCGTGTCAATAAAAATATTATTCGGATTAATATTAATAACACCCTTTGTTATGATTATCTATTAACCAAGTACCTAACTCCCAAAGTGGATTTTATTCTATGTTATGAGATAAATCTCATATTGGTTTAACAATTGATTACACTATTTAAGGGAGAGTAACATGAAGGGCTATGGACGATGATAACCCTAGGTCACTCCTTTCTACGTAGATTACTTGTCTATATATCAACAGGGTACTAATGATTCTCAACTATTTAGGAATCCCTATATTTCTATCATTGTTTTCCATAACACAACTTGATGGTTCATTTTTTAGTATACCCACTACGAGGGAACACTATAATTATTTATACATGGAATACAATTGACATAATAAGAGATGCCCTTTCTATATGGTAATGACTAGTAAGATGGTCCAATCTGCCCATAATTGTATTATAGTACCTCTATATTCACCCATAATAAATTATGGTATAAGTTGAACATTCTTATTACTAACGGTATACCAATATAGGCTCTCATATTGATAGTTAGGGGATTATGATATGCGTATACCTCCGACTATGATAGACCAAATTGAGTTTCTTATTTATACCACGAGTACCCTTCTACTATAATTTGGTACCCATGGTCAATAGTATTATACACTATGTTCTAAGCTCAACAACCTAGGTAAATATTTGCTAAATGAGTCCACTCGACTAAGATAAATTTAGTATACTTGGAGTGTTAATTGAAATCATAAGAATTTATTAAACCTAGGTCGTTGAGGGTTATTCCCTTATTTAGCGGATATTTACCCAATGGACTCATATATCCTATAATTACCCTATTATAAGATAATTGTAATGTATTATAATGCGGGCAATTTACACTATAGTATAGGCTAATTAGTTTATCTAATACTTAGAATATACTCGATGAGCTATCTATAGCATACGAGTTGGGCTATAATAAGTTAATATTAAATAGAAATACATAAAGGTCTGCAGTAAGAGCATACCATGAAGGTAAAATATCGGATCGAAATTAAGAGTTTATAATATTTCTACGAGTGTTACATGTATCATAATCCTATACAGCCATAACTACTATATCCTTATTAGGGCCATTTATCGGGTGGGGTAATTATTGAGGAGTCCAATTAAGAGCAACGAACCAATTTTTGATGCCTCATTAATATATTCCTAGAACATTGATACATTAAACGTTACCTAAGATTATTTGTACAATGATATGGGATATATAGGATTCATTAGAGTTTTTAAGAGGGATAGAGATGGACTAGCCAATTGGGATTATCATATTATAATCCCTCTCATTGTTTTCCATCTATTTATATTAATCCTACGTTGATATAGCACTCACCTAATTAACGATCACTTAATGAGAAATATTTGCCAACTATGACCACTCACACCAATATACATCAATAGGCTCTATTATTTAAGGATTGATCCTATTATTGAACAATCTTATGATATCTCTCATTAGGGGAAACACTTCAATTCTAGCATTCAATTTTAGTCGTGTTGCCAATGGACCTAAATGATAGATCAATTATTTGATCTAATGAGATGGTAAATATATTACCAGTTATAATGGGGACAAGCCTACTTAGTATACTAGAGAATGGATACATCATGCCCACTTAATATATCAATGGGGATGTATCCTTATAAGTATTATAGTCCATATTGAATAGGAGGGAATGGAGAGGAGGGAGGTAGAGAGGGACATAGGGTTAGGATAAACAACCTCATTATTTCCAAATTATCATTAGTATGCATCAACTATGTATTATCAAATATCCTATTCATCTTATCATATTTTTCCTACCCTCATGCTGATTGTTTCATTAGGGATAATATTATATCCCTTGTCTATATTATTTTGATAATACATGTAGTCATAATGGCAACGGAAATAGGATGGTTTAACCAATTATAATATTGATTCCATTAATACTAATACCTCCCAAATATCCCTTGGGATGATCTACTTATTTAACGTAATTAGGGATGACTAAGTATGTTCATAGGAGTCACCAATTATAGGCCATAATATTTGATGGTCCAATTTATTAGGGGTACCACAATAGAGAATCAGCCTTATTGAGGATTAATTGGTTACCTAATATGTTAAATAATATGGGGTAATTATACCCTATTTTTAATAGTTAACGAGCAATTTTATAATAGTATCCTAGAGAATGGATATATCATGCCGTCTTAGTATGTCAATGGGGATGTATCCTTATAAGTATTATAGTCCATACCGAATAGAAGGGAATAGTGAGGAGGGAGGTAGAGAGGGATATAAGGTTAGGATAAACAACCTCATTATTTTCAAATTATCATTAATATGCATCAACAATGTATTGTCAAATATCCTATTCATCTTACGGTATTTGCCCTACCCTCATGCTGATTGTTTCACTAGGGATAATATTATATCCCTTTTCTATATGATTTTGATAATACATGTAGTCATAATGGCAACGGAAATAGGATGGTTTAACCAATTATAATATTGATCCCATTAATACTAATACCTCCCAAATATCCCTTGGGATGATCTACTTATAGTGGCTCTAGTAAGATGATCTACTTATTTAACGTAATTAGGGATGACTAACTATGTTCATAGGAGTCACCAATTATAGGCCATAATATTTGATGGCCCAATATATTAGGGGTACCACAATAGAGAATTAGCTCTATTGAGGATTAATTGGTGACCTAATATATTAAATATGATGGGGGTAATTATACCCTATTTTTAATAGCTAACGAGCAATTTTATAATAAGGTGCTCATATCCGGTCGACTTATATTGTAGCCTACTATGGATTAAGTCCGTAATGTATTCCATAGTATTACTTCTTCTATATCCTATTGGACACTAGTTTATTGGGCCTACATTTGAGATAGACTATCGAGTGACTACCACTCCGATGGCGAGTGACTAATATAAGTATATATGCTTAGTTTATACTTCGCACATTATAAAGTCTTTTAAAATAGACCTATGGCAGTTCATAGCCTATTATCTATTTTCTCTCAATATAATAACTAATATTGTGTAGACTATATCTCAATATTTACTTGAGTTAACATTATCGATTATGGTGATAAAGACAATTTGTAGAAATGTGTATCTTAATAAGGTGGAAGGAGAGAGTGATTCAATAATCCATTTCAAATATACTATTTATAGTTTATTACTATAATATTGTGGAACATCTCCTTACATTATCAACTAACCCTACATCTTGATAAAGGTCAAGTAATCTAATAGAGTAACCAAGTGAAAATAGGAAATATTATTAGTCATCCCTATACGAAAATATTTGATATACTCCACGGTGCTATATGACTACATGTATATGCTAGCCCCTAAGGATCATAACAGCCATTCTTATATAGATGGATAGATGGAGGGACATTATACTCTATCACGTAGTTGATAAACATTTTTTGGGATTAACGAGTAAAACAATCGTTGGTAAACAATCCACCATAATACTAATATAATTACGAAGGGACATTATATGCCTTTTTTATCATAATCTTATCATGGGATGGATAATGATACAATAGACTATAATAGATAATTAATTCTATACATAAATGGTGACTATGAAAGATTGCTAACCCATGTATAAGGAGGATATTAGGCATAAGCATAATAATCATTGACCATAAGTGGTCTCCAATGGTAGTTTAAATGCTAACCCATCACAATTATTTCTATATATATCTCACCTCCCTAATAAATAGGATACTCTCTAACATCTTATTGATAGATAGTTATTCCCTACAATTAACATGCCTACTCATTTAGTTAATTATTATCATCAAATTAACTAACCTTAATTTGATAAGGTTCCATGAGATTTGCATGGTTCTCTCATTATATATGGGTTAAGATATCATTAGGTTCTCTCATTTACTAACTTTAAATATAGAAAACATTATAGTGATAAAAGATAGCCTAAGATATACTAGTGATTAGGGATGACTTATCCTAAGTTAATAGGCTACATGGTTAGGTATGGTTAGCTATTTTAATTAGAACAATCAAGTCCATATAATATATGAGGTGATAAACATTCTAAGTAAGATAGGTTTATATAATATATGATGGCTACATTATATAGAACTAACTATATCATTATTCATTATTCATAACAATAAAGGTTTCTATTTTAAAACTATATAGATGGGTGGCAGATTGTTATTATTAAAATAGTCGACCAACTAATTATTATATAGACCTATATTACTTAGAATGTTTACCACATCATATATTATATAGACTTGATTGTTGTAATTAAAATAGCTCATCTCAAATTGTGGTCAAAACACTTATGGAGTATAACCACATGGGCAACTATAGGCCTAGACACTAGGTTGAGAGTGAATGTCAATTAATAGGCTAATCGAGTCAATATCATTGTAGCCTATGTATGGCCCTGTCAATATTTTGACCTTAATATTTGGTACTTGTTCAATATCATAGTATAAATAATCCTTATGTTGGAGTACATTCTATATCGATATTATTATAATATTAATGCATTATTATCGTATATTCATCCTATTAAACTGACAAATAACTCAACCTCTTACCAACGACTTATATGATCCCCTACTAAGAGTATAGAGCCCAATCACATATAATATTCATTATGAGATCAAATTTAGACTTATCCCCATTGATATTATAGATAAAATATTATAGTTTGATTAGCCAATAATATGATAGAATATTCCAATTATAGTAGATAGTCAATTATAGTAGTTCTAATAGATGAGTATCACACTATTATAATGATGACCATAGGCTTAGAATGGAGATTATATGGAAAATAACTAATACCACTATCTAATATACATAAACATCACATGTGATGCCCATAGTTATTCACTCTATGAGTATAATTAGTATTAGTTAATAAATATCACAAGGGCTACTCCCTATGGTGGAGAGAGTTCATTAATCAAAAGAATTTAACCATTTTCATATTGGAAATGATTAATATAAGGGCTAATAATCATGTTTAGAGCTAATATTATTACCTATCATAGCCCATAATATAAGACCCTTTTAAGTATATCCTTCTTAGGCATTTGTGGATTCTAACATACGAACAACTAACCCTCTATAGCATTAAAATTGTTTCCCAATCTGAGTAATATATGTTTACTTCTAAGGGAATTCCACATATTTAAGTAGTGGGTATATCATTTTAAAGTGTATATTATAAATGATAATCATAGAGTTATTTGAGTTAGGTCATATTTGTGTACCCTAAATAACCCTTACAAAATGAACAAAATATCATTCTTTAAGCAATTGAATATAATGTAGTTACTCTATTTATATAGAGTGTGTATAAACTCACCTTGGTGAGATTTTGATATTATTGAGTGAATTCCTATATATAATTGATTTATATAACCTTATGATGGTTATGCCTCAAGGTCTCCATAAACTCTTGTGATAATGTAATTTGCTAAAAACTCAATAGCCGTATTCCCCTTAAACAAGGACCATATGAATTCAGGATTATCTAATGTTAAAGGTTCAATGGGCTATATCAACGTCAATATTTACCAAATCATATCTACTAGATGAAATTACAAAATATAATGATGGATTCTTTATTGATAGCAATTTATCAAATTCCATCAATTACTAGTCCAATTAAGAGCAATGAGCCAATTTTTGATGCCTTATTAATATATTCCTAGAACATTGATACATTAAACGTTACCTAGGGTTATTTGTACAATGATTTGGGATATCCGGGATTCATTAGAGTTTTAAAGAGGGATGGAGATGGACTAATCAATTGGGATTATCATATTATAATCCCTTATTTTTTTCCATCTACTTATATCAATCCTAGGTCATATTGTCGGATAGGAACCATGTTTGTTAATTGATAACTTTACCGAGTTCATTATCGGAACAATGGATTACTATTCCACATTTATAAGGATCTCCATATTATGAGGTTATCTAAATCAAATACAAATTATAATAGTTAATCGTGTTCACCATGAATAGGTATAAATCATAAGTGGACTAATCATATCTCTTATTGAAAATGATATCTAAAATCATCTGGTAGATATAATTCCCCACTCTTTGTCTAACAAAAAGGATGCCTTATTAACTCTTGCCTCCTTGTATTTTAGTCCACTTGGGTGGAATTATCATCAACCTAGACGATTGACATACCTATGTTAGATAGATCTCCCTAAATATCTTATGATATGCACTTTTATACCCATTAGTTGATGCTAAATATATAATTATATTAGACAAGTATGTCAATTGTCCATAGTATTAGGACATATCCTCTCATAATGTGATCTACATATAATCCCAAGATATACATGCTATTAATACTATTGCCTACAAGTGATACAGTTAATTCGGATAGATGAGATGATATGGGATAACATTGGTTATCATAACCTTAGCCATACATAGGCTAAATTAAGGTTAGTTAATTGGCATAGTCAAATAGCGGAATCTACATTATTTCATGATCATATACTATATAGAAAGGAAAGATTGGTTTGGCATATCTCTACCGTTGCAAAAATAGTAATATCCATTGAATTTAGTATATCATCTTACGTTATACTCCACATAAATAGGAAATTAGTAAAGATATGAGGTTAATCAGCATTTAATAAGGTATCCCCTTGTCCGCTAGAAAATCCTAGTGCTTATGATTGATATATAATGCTCAACATATTAGTATAGATTATGCCAATACTCTATTGACAAAGGTGTTCGATGATGGCCTCTTTAGCGGATGAATTCATATTACCGTTTTAATTTCTCTATTCCTAAGATATTAATGGCACCATGCCATGAGGGGGAGATTGGGTCCTGTATTATTAGATATAGCCTCGCCATGTGAGTTTCTATTGACTTGATTTTTATTTTCTCAATAAACTAATACTTTTCATAACATAGTAGGTTATAATTAGGGTTATAAGATATGGAGCATATGATATATATACTATGGTCATTATATTTGAAAACGCTATCATAACCCCCTTAAATAGGACCGTATGAATTCAAGACTACTCTTATAAGGGTCTTTTCTTAGTGAGAGTATATCCTATAATTACTAGTTTTAGGGTTTAGGATCATTATCCTTTAAATAGGTATAATACCATTATCTAATATGCATAAACATCAAAAGGGATGTATATCAAGCTGCTATTTTCATGAAGGTCATTAATATTATCCTTAGAGATGGGCTATATTGATAGTAGACCAATCGATGATGGCCACTTAAATGATTGTAATATCATCCATGATATTGGACATTCAAAATACCCCACATCTATATTAAAATATATAGCTATTACCCTCTCTCCCTCTTATATGTTTCATGAGTGACGGTTGATAAGGTGTATATAAAAATATATAATATTCTCTCTTATCCCCTACTTTTGTCAGGGCTATCTTAATGTTTATATTATCAATATAATTAATCCATACATAAACATCCCTTTTGATGTTTATGTATATTAGATAATGGTGTTATAGGAGGTGCATGTATTAACTAATCAATGTAAGGCATAGTGAACCTAACCAATTATTGCGCCATCAAATTTCAGGAAAATATTCTATCATAAACTAATATGGTAATATTGCATTAAAATCACCTTTCCATGGTCCTTATGACATTTTAACCTTTAAATAACTTAATAAACATTCATCTTATGATTTAGGGATGGTAAATATTAGTTATATTATATGCTCTATTCACTTAAAAAATTACTACATGGATAATAGGATGATAACATTGGTGGTATGACTTGGTTAAAATATACATGTCTAAGGAATTAACATGTTATAACCAATTAATAGGCAACTAATATGAAAAACAAAGAATTCACTATAATGTATAAGGAGAATAATATATTTATGGTACCCTCCCTTATTTAACTACAGTTATGGTAGATAAGGAAATATGATTTATGTTCATATTTAGCCCGAACAATATACATCTAATAATGAGGGAGGTTACCTATTCTCTAATCTATTCAATGAGTACAAGAAAAATAAGGGTTTATTGTGATGCCCCCACTCCCGCCCACTCTCCTATTACCAAATATGAGTGGCCACGCGAGGAGCGCGTCATGCCGACACGATCTAATCCCGACTTAAAATCAAAAATAAATAACATTATACATATTAAAATGTGTAAAATAAAGTTTACATAACATCGGTGAATACAACTATAGAAAATTTCATAGTATTTGAAGATGGCATTTAACTGCCTACGTACATCGAAACCCCCAAAATACAAACAAAATAGATTTTGCTATTTTCCCGTGTCACACATGAGCCCTTTTTTGGGAGGAACTAGCAGCGTCGTCGATCGAACTATTGTTGTCCTTTCCTGCTAAAAAGAATGCAACAAAACAGAATGAGCCAAAGCTCAGTAAGTAGGGTGATGCACGTGATATGCAATGCTACCAGACTTCCCCATTTTTCTTATCACATTTTAATTTCGGATACCCCAGGTATTAGCAAGTCTGTTTTATTCTCGATGACTTGCCGAATAGCCTCGACAATCACCTATTATCGAATAACCTCAACAATCATTCACTATTGAATAACCTTAGCATTCATTCACTACCGAATAACCTCGGCATTCAATCATTGCTAAATAACCTCGCATTCATTTACTTTCATTCCTCGGTGGTTGTCGAATAACCTCGGCATTCATTTACTTTCATTCCTCGGTGGTTGCCGAATAACCTCGACAATCACTTACTGCTAGCAATGAGATTATCCCTCATTGTAGCCTTGGTGGTGGAATTATCCATAGTAATCATGCACATTTAATTCGATTCGGTTACCAA